GAAAAAGAAAGAAATATTAAAAGTAACTTCTTATGGAGTAAAGTGAGTGACCAGATGGTGGATAGCATGTATTATATAGTGGTTTGAGTCCAGATGAACCCCAAAGTCTCATGTGCTCACAGGTGACTTTGCAGAGGTGGCTGGATCTAGATAGAGTGTATGATTACTAAATTATTCCACTGATTGGTTTAACAGCCATACTCAGAACTGAATGTGGATAATGGGAAGGTCCACCCTTGGGTGTGAGTGCTACCCCCCCACAAGGATGTGTAACCTGAATATACTATATTATAAGGGACAGAAAGAGGACTGCTGTTGCTGCTTGCTTCTTCCTACTTTGCTGCCTTCCTGCTTTTTGCATGCCATGAACTACTTCTCACATGTAGCGTGCCCCCTATGCCATGCCACCACCCCTGCCTTGAAGTCAGCCAACTATGACTGAAACCTCTACAAACTGTGAGCCAAATAACCTCTCCTCTCTTAACTTGTGGGTGTTGGACATTTTGTCTCAGCAAGAAAAGTAACTAAGACATACTAGTTCAATTTCTCAAATGAAATTTGAGCTCATTAATGAAACACTGGGTACTAGCTCTCTTGCATTCTGAGCAGTCTCAATGTGATTTTCTCTTCAATGTTGCTACAGAGACAGGGAGTCTAAAATCAGAGAGATCATAATAAAGGAATCTTCTCTAAAAATGGCTTACCATATCTCTGTACAATCATCAAAATCGCTGTTTTGCCTGAAGTCTAGGCTTTGCTTAAACAAGAATTTACTGCTGGGAGTGGTGGCATATCTCAGTAATCCTAACTCTTGGAAGGCTGAGGCAGCAGAACAGTCAGAGTTTGAGGCCAGCTTGGCCTAGACAGTGAGTTTGAGGCAAGCCTGAAATACAGTGAGACCCTATTTTAATAAATAAATAACAAAAAATTTACTTTTTCTGCTTACCCAAGGATTTATTTTTCCCCAGTACTAGTGATTCAGGTAGTGCTGGGCTATATGAATCCCCAGCCCTTTTTATTTCAACACAGCGTCTTGCTAAACTGTTCAAGCTGGCCTTGAATTTGCCAACCTACTGCCTCACAGTCTTGAGTACTGTAGCATGGATTACACATGAGCCCCAGTGTTCAGCTCTAGAGTATTTATTTATTTTTATTATTTTTTTTCAGAACCGGGGATTGAACTCAGGCCCTTGCACTTGCAAAGCAAGCGCTTATTCTATTGAGCTATCTCCCTGGCCCTAGAGTTTTTAAATTTGGAAATAAAGAATTACTTGAGATTAATTTTATTTTCAGAAAGGATTTTCCCACAAGGATTTTCGGAAATTTAACAAAGGCAATCACAAAATCTTATCCAGATGATGGGTAGGGGGAGTATTTGACTCTAAGATTCTATGGTAGTCAAGGTAAATATTCAAGAACATGTGTTTCTACAAAAAAGATTTAAAAAAAATGTATTTAGTATAGGGTCTAACTACACAGATTGGACTTGTAGTGATCCTCTTGATTTCAGGCTCTCAAATGCTGGGATTACAGGCACACGCCACCATGCCCAGTCTCAACTGCCTTCTCAGCATGCCCCAGTGGTGGGGCCAGAAGGGCATGTGGTGCTGGGGATCAAACTCCCGTCCCTGTGCTCTGCCTAAGCAGGTACATTAGTCTGCTGGCCAGCCCTACAAATAAGAATTTTTAATTCTATAAATTACAGAAGGGGGGGGACAAACATAACCAAATACAAATACAAATGAATAGCTTACTTACATTTGTATAACTAATAGAACACTTAAAATAGCTTAAAACAGACTTCTGAGTATACCAGAACTATTACAAACATCTGAAAGTTGTGTTCAAACATAAAAGAACAAATTAAAGGCCTATATCTGAGGGCAAATGGTGTACCATTAACAATAAACAAGTAATTGCCTAGTTCTAATTTTACTTCTATTGCTTTTATTAGGGAGAAGGATCTTCACTTGATCAACAACAACAAAAAACAGACACAAAAAGGATAAATTATTCTATCTTTCTAATACGCAAAAATCATCTATGCCATTAGGAATCAGGGTAATTGCTGCCTCTGGAGCTAGGCAGGGCCTTGGAAGAAGCTCTATGATACAGAGTGTTTCCTTTCTTAATTTATAAGCTGGTGGAGTTGATGATACATCCAGTTATAAAATTTTTCATCAAGTTGTACATTCAAGATGGGTATAATTTTTTGTACCTATCTTATATGTTAAAAAATGTCAAAAAGAAGCTAAGTTCGAAGGGCTAACACTGGCAAGAAGTTAATCTTATTTTATTAAGCTGAGGCTTAGGTAATTTCTGAGATCCAAATAACCTAAGAATACGAGAGAACTTTTACTAGTGTTATTATCCAAAGGCTGTATGTCCACAAAGAAATTACACATTAACATGATACTGGAATTAGCAAGCATTTTTTTCAAATTTAGTAAAAAATGAGTGGCAAGAGGGACAGAAGAATGGTTTTCAAGTACTACATACTATCCCAGGGAGCATGACATTGATAGTGGACAAAAACCTCAAAACTTGATTATGTAAACATTTAGAAAAAGGTAACTCAAATTCTTAAAAAGTTTCAGATTAAATCCAATTTTTAGACAAATCATCTTTGACTCTTCAATTTAACAAAAATTTACTCTGCTCTACCTTTCTCCCAATAGCATTATTCATAAGTTGTACAGATACAGTCAGTTATGTGATTTTTTTTGCCTTTATAGAGGAAATTTTATTGTCAATTATTTACCTTAACAATTTGAGAAAGAGGAAGAGATTTACTCATTCCAACATGATTGGCAGTTGGCAAAATCTAGTGAAGCAGGCTGATTGCTAAGGATTTAGTTTGGATGCTTTTAATACTTAACACATCTGACCCTTCAAATATAATCCAGAATAAATGCATCATTCTCCTTTCCTTTCCCTTTAACACTGCATCTACCTCACTTCATTATGAAAACAGCTTCATTAAATGATTCCCAGAGAAAACTACATCACTTGTTCCCAGCGGAACAAGCTCCCTGGAGAACAGAGCCATGAGGACAGTGCACAAAAGAAAAATACAAAATAAAACTCTGTATGATAATTTACTAGTCTAAAGAAACAAACTCAATATATTAAGAAATAAATCCAGTTACAAATGTACTCATAGGTCTATGTGAAGAGGCTGGTGAACAACTGAAAATGGCAGGCTATTTACAAGATACACAAGCAGGAAAGGTGCACCTATCAGCCCAGCGCTGGCCCTCAGAAGCTAAAAGTGTTCTCTCTGCTGTAGGCCACATATAAGAATCCATCTTCATCCTTTTCCTTCTTGTAAAGCTGTCCCATAGTTAGGCTGGACTGTGGGGCCATCGTATCCACAAATGGGAAGATTGCCTTTTCAGAAGGAAGCTGGATCCTTTTCTTGATGATCCACATAAACTGAGCCACAGTGATGTCAGATGGAACGAAGTATTTTGTTTTGTCAGTGTCAACAATCTGAGAGCCTGAGACCCTTTCCACAATCACTGGAACTCGATCAGATATTTATTTCTCTCAGATCTTCGCAGATTCTAAGCATCTGTGTTCCAGTGAGTGGTCCTCCTTGAACATCCATCTTATGGAGGTGAGGGAGGGGACCGAGCTGGCTATCTGAGCATGAAGTTCAGCAAGCCGAACACAAGAACAATTTTTCAATGTACTGTCCAACTTCACGTGGCAGTTGCTCAAATAGGAGTGCTTGTATGTATAACCAGATAAATTTCTGATAAAGATCCTGTGAATGTTACTATAAGGAGCTTCTAGCAAACAAAATTAGTACTCAAAGTTTAGAGATTTAAAGAGCAATTTAGCCAGTATTTGAACCAAGCATATTAAATAATTATTAAATAATAGGTCTACTGAATTCTGGTGACTTAAGATCACATACATTCAAAATCAAGTCATTGCTTCTCTTTAAAGCTGAAAGACTTAGCCATGGTAATTTCATATAGGAATATGAGAGTAAATCAGATCAGGAAAAAAGGCTAAACACCAAGGTTAGAAGTTTCAAATCTACTATTATAAAGTACATTTACATAGAGGGAATTCATTAAGTGTATTTTATTGATTGGCAATTGAAACATTTGCTTCAAATAAAATGGGTTCACATGGAATCTGAGGGTAATTCCAAAGTCCTTCAAAAATAATGGAAGAAAATAATTTTAACATAGTCACAACAGGGTTGTAATTTCTGTCTTGCTGGGTCTCTCTGAACCACTAGTGGTATATGAATGACTGTCCTATTAAGTATCATGGGACAGTTCTATAGGATGATTGTTATAAGCCACCCAATGGGACAGTCATGCAGGTATTGCTGGTGGGTCAGGTCTGAAGTCTTTTTTTTTGGTATTTTAGGGAAGGGTCTACAGGGTGTTCAGGGTCTCACTACTAGATCAGACTTGTAGTGATTCATCTGTATACAGCTTCCCAAGAGCTGGGATTACAGGCATGCACTACCATGCCCAGTCTCAATTGCTGTCTCAGCATGCCCTGGAGGTTGAGGCCCACACAGCAGGGTCAAGGATAGAACCCTGACCCCTGAGCCTGCTTGTAGGTGCTTTAATTCACCGAGTTATTTGGCCAGCCCTAAGCCTGAAGTCTTAATAGCAGTAATCTTCCACTGATAAGATTTATTTTTTAAAGTTTCTTTACTAATACATGTAACTTTTACATGGGAAAGAGGAAAAGAATTCTATATAACACATATCCCATAGACGGTTAGTAAGGAAAATTGGTATCTAATTTCATCTGATGTAAAAATTTCAATACTTCTCACAGTGCCTCCCACAATAAAAGGAAGCTAACATTTAGCATACATCATTACAAACTAATAAGGTATTTTTAGGCTATGTGGTTTTAGGGAGGATTATTACTCTGAAATAGTATTTTCACAATTCAAGTTACACAACATTTTAACATCAGAAAGCTCTATTAATTACTTTTCTTTAAATGTATGTCATCCTTACCTTCCGTAGTTCAACTGTCACTTCATTTCTGTGTCTTCGCATTGTCTAGGAAAAATAAAGAATATATAAACATCAAAATATTGGTAATGCTGGTATATAATTAAAGTCTTGAGCATTTGAAACTTAATTTTTTTTTTAGAAATAACTTAAGGCTTTGGACCATCATTTTAGATTTAAAATGATAAGCTATAATTAAGTAAAAAACCAGAACTCTTGTTTTACTGGATATTCTTTGTCTAATTTTGTGAAAACTGAAAGGTAAGGAGGCGTGGTTTGGCTATTTACTGTCCTACAGGCACCTAGTTTTCTCTGAAGAACTACTATATCCTTTCCACTGCATACAGCTTTGATGCAACCTAAAGTGAGGGAAGAAGGCTGGCATTTCAGTTGGTGGAGTGAGGGGAAAAGATTTGCTATCAGTGCATGGGTATCAGCCAGGCAGCTGGAAGTCCACATAGAAAAGAAGGCACAGGAAGAATGGGTTCTTGCTTTCTTCTGTTACTGGGACATCTTTCTTCCCCTGCCCAAGGAAATTACAATTTTAGGTTCTCTGATCTTTGGAGCTTACACCATCACTGACCCTCTTGTGTTCCTTTTCTTGTCTCTTGGCTTCAGAATGAGCCATATTCCTGTCTTCCCTGGTTCTCTAGCATGCAAACAGCCTATCATATGATTCTCAGCCTGCATAATCAAGTGAGACAATTTCCCTAATGAATTCCCTCTCATCTCTCCCCCCCATATATACACACACATATGGACCTATTATCAATTTTCTCTCTTGAGAACCCTAAAATAGATCTTATGTAGACAATGATTCACACAAACTTAAAATATAAGTTTGTATATGTATGCATGTGTATGTGTGTGTATACATACATATATAATTTCAGACAACTACAACATGGTGATTAGATCATCAGTAAGCTTAAAGGTATTACTGGTAGGGTTGTGGTGTGTGTGTGTGTAATGTGATGATGGTATTGTACTTTTTGAAGAGTCCTTATATTTTATTTATATTTACTTATTTATCTTAAGAGTAGGATTTTTATAGGAGAAAAGGAATGGAAAACAGGAACAGGGAATAGGAATAGCTCCTGCAAGACAAAAGGGATCCCAAGTGAGCTGACTAAGTCCTTGTATTTTAAATAGCATATATCCTCTTAATTAAAAACAACAACAACAGCAGCATATGTCACTTCTGGAAGATCTAATTACATTTATAATGTACTGAACTCATACAAACATGAAGGGGATAAAAGGGTCCTTAAAGTGAAAACTAAGAAGGGAGAAATAAAAAGCAAAAAGTAAGTGAAAAGTATAAGGGTGTCTGCCTGTTTGGCATTAGGGGTTAAATTATTAAGCTCCACCACAGATGCAAGGCTAGAAAACTAAACCTTAAGACTTTCATAAAACCAGAACCTCAAATTCATAATACACTATGAATCTTAGAAGCAGCCTATAATGCCCATCAACAGATGAATGGATAAAATGTGCTTTGTACACACAATGGAATACTGCTTTGCAATAAAGATAAACAGGAGTCATTTGGAAGAAAACAGATGCACCTGAGGCCACAAGGTTAAGTGAAATAAATCCAAACACAAGCTTAAATATTTCATGGTTTCTCTTATAAAAAGCAAAATAAAAGATAGTAAGAAGTAGCGAGACAGATCTCTCAAATGGGGAAGGGAGCAACAGATGGAGGGAGAAAGGTGAGAGGGGAAAAAATAAGGATGATAAAAGGAATTGTGATATGTTATGTGTAGGTATCAACTCCACACAAGGAAAGTAAGTACCATGAACTGCAAACATATACTAATAAAAAATTGAAAAATTTAAAATTCAAAAGAAGCAACAAACTAATAACTTAAAAATTCTCTATTAATTTTATTTGCTGTAAACGGGCCTTTACATAAATTGTTGTAAATTGTGTACATTTTTATAAGCAAATTATAAAGCATAGCTTAAATATATATATGAGCAGAATATATTTATTGAGGGAAAGAAAGCTCCAGTTCGAGAGAGGGACAGGAGGGGGGCCCGAATGGGTTGTTCCCCCGCTTAAATATTTTTAAATAGCATATCTCCATAATTTCCCACTTTAATCTTTTGTCCTTAGAACAATTTTAAAGAGGTTCTTATTAAAGAACAAGATAAACTCAATGGTTTTAGTTTTATTACATTTGTGTAACATTTTACTTAAAATTTTAATATTCAAAAATTTGATGAGAAAAAATGTTTCAACAATACTAATCATTCGAGAGATGAAAATTAAAACACCATCTAACACCAGAATGAATGGCTAGAATTAAGAAATCAGACAATAAGAACTACTGGTGGGCTGAGAGGAAAAAGTAACGCTTTCCCACTGTTGGTGGGAATATAGACTGATACAACCACTACGAAAATTCGAGTGGAGATTCCTCAAAAAACTAAGACTAAAGGTCTAATTTGACCCAACTAGTCCCCTTCATGGTATCACCTCAGAAGAATTAAAAGCATCATACCACAGCAATACATATACACATGTTTATAGCAGCACAATTTATGATAGCTAAATCTTGGAAACAGCCCAAATGCCCATCAACCAATGAATGGATAAAGAAGATGCGGTTTTTTAATACAGTGGAGTACTACTAAGCCATAAAACAGTACTTGAGACATTTCTACGTACATGGATTCACCTTAAGACCCTACTCAAGTGAAATAAATCAGATATACGTGTGTAAATACTGCACTGTTTCTCTGGTATGAGAAACTTAAAGTGTAAATAAGTATCAAAATATAGAATAAGTACTGTGAAATGGGAAGAACATATTCAAATGAGGAGAGAAACAAACGAAGGGGGAAGGGAATAATAGAAAAGGGAAATGTAAAAACAAAAGAGGGAAAAGAAAATGAAAAAATGGAAGCAAAGCTTTAACAAATAGAGAAGGGAGGGGCATTTGAGGCGAGGGTGGTGGAATGGGAAAAGTAATAGTCTTGATGTTGAAAATAAATCAGTAATTTCAAAATGGACAGAACAAAAATTTGGGAGTAGGATGATGGACGTACTCAAAACTGGATTGCAGTAATGCAGTAATGCAACAAAGATATTTATTCTATGCTTCTCTTAGCTAACAAATATTTTAATGAGCATGCTAACTGAAGCAAATGTAGAAATTTTATTTATGGAAAACAAAGTAGAAGACAAAAGAATTTCTGGGATCTATTTGGCTTCTTCTTAGACTTCAGAGAACGCAAGATTGCCCTCTTAAGCAGTAACATAACAAGAAAACAAGGTTTCTGAAAAATATGGTGAATGTCTATTTTGTAATTAATTCAGTGAAAGGCACACTGCCATTAATCCCTCTTGCTTTGCACATACTAAACCCATCATTCTTGTCACTTGTTGAATCCGTCAGTTCTGGAAGTCTTTTTTTGTGTGTCTTTGGTTATACTGTCACAGCTGCCTTAATGTCCCGAACTGATTCAAAATGTTCACTTTTCATGGTTCTTTTGACCTTTGGGAAGCGCCAGGAGTTGCACCTGATAAATAAGGTAGATGGACACACTACGTTTCTTTTCCTTTTACATGTCTGCTCTCCAGAACTGCTACAGAAAATGGCCAAAAATAATAAAACAAATGTATCTCAAATGAGAGAATTTTGAGGTGGATTAATAATTTATCTTTTTACTGTAATAAATTTTTATTTAAACATTCACCATATAATTTTGGTCAGCCCTTGTAGCTCTGGAATAAAAAGCCTATACAATACTGTGCCCATAAGTTTGCCAACTGAGTATTAATGACAAAATTGACTTCAGAAAAGTAGTGACAAGCATAAGGCAGTGAAATATTTTTAACATGCTGAAAAACTAGCTTCAAATTGATAATTCTAATTAAAAAAAAGAATGACAGAATTTAAATGCCATCACCTCACAACTGTCAGTAAATGAATGGATCTAGGCAATGATCATCACTGGTTGTTAATATCACAAAAGCGGGGGGAAAACCCTGTGTGTACCTCACGGTAGAAGTATGCAGTATTCAAGACAATCAAAACCAAGCCAATGCACAGAATGGGTGAAAAATTTTCTACATCATATACCTGATAAGGGACTTGTAACAAAATATATAATGGACTCTTATGACCACTAATAAAAAGACAAGTAATACCATTAAAACAGGGACTAAAGACCTAAACAAAAGTTTCCCAAAGATAAACAACCAATAAAAGTATCAGAGGAAAGCATATTAAAATCATGAGACCATCCTTACTAGGACAGTTAAAGAAATGACAAGGACTGGGCCCAAAGGTGGAGCCCACACTTATAAAGGATGGGTAAGGCCCTGGGTTCTATCCCCAGCACTACCAAAAAGGTAAGACAGACAGACAGACAGACAGACAGAGACACAGACACAGACAAACACACACACACACACACACACACACACACACACACAATATAAAAGGATGTGGAAAAGTACAGAAGTTGAAACTCTTAAGATACCATTGGTCAGACTGGTATAGTACTTTGGGAAAACAGTGACAGTTCCTCAAATACTGAATATCAAACTACCTCATTATGATTTGGACCTAAAATGTTCGACAAAAGGTTTATATGCTGAGCTTTTGGAAGGTGAATGGATCATTACAACCCTAGCTTCATCAGTGAATTAACCCACTGACAGACATAATTTGATGGTGCAACTGGAAGGTGATGGATATAAGAAGTTTCTTTATTGTAAGAAAATGGTCACGGAGCATGAATGTGGGACTTTTATCTTGTCCTCGGTCCCCTACCTTCTCTCTCTGTCTCTCTCTCTCTCTGGTTTGTGGACGTCATGAGGTGAACAGTTTTGTTTCATCACACTCTACCAACATGAGGTTTTATTTCATCGCAGACCCAAAAAACAAAGCCAACCAACTATGCACTTTGAAACTTGAGTCATAGTAAATTTTTCCTTTCAGTTTTTTTCCTCAGGTATTTTGTCCGATAGAAAGCTGACACACTATATGATCCAGCAATTCTACCTCTTCATATACATTTAAAAGACATGA